ACAACATATTTTGTCATCTCGAGACAAATCTTACTAAGGTAAACTTTTGCGAATCGGCTTTTTTTTTCCCAGTAAAAAATAGTTTCACCGTTCGTAAACAACGTACATATCATATTTATTCGTACGGTTATGAAGACCAGAATTAATAAAGTAGGGATATACAAAACAGTAGCACATTATTAAGGTGACGTTTCTATGGGCAATTTTTTGTTCAGCGTTGTAGAAAATTCAAGCAAGTTAGAAACAATATCTCTTCACTGTACCAGTTATATAAGTTTTCTTCAAGGTATAAGACAACTGACAATATACATTCAAAATAAGCGGAAAAAGCATATTTTTAGCTCGTATGTTTATCTTAAGTTTCCTGAACTTGGCACGCCTGTTGAACGTACAAAAAATCTCGTACGGTACTATAAACGTAATCACACCCCGCAGAACGCTTTTAAGAAACTATTAACACATGTGTTAATGACAATTATTGAGTATCTTTACCAATTTGCTGGACAAAATAGAAAAGATACATTTTCTGATGTTTACATGTTCTCCGTGATGCGAAAAATTAAAGCTAGTTGCTCTAGTTTAGCGTTCCGCTTCGTCACTTCCTACAAGTAATAAAAAATTACACTGGAACAAAAAATTGAACATATACGGAACACTTTTGAACGTGAAAATCCTGTAGTACCACCTTTAACAATTATTTTAACTGCGCTCGCGGACTAATATACATATACTAGGAACTACTAAGGAACTACACCATGTGTAAGTAAAGTTGAAATACCGATAACACTTTATTTCGTTAATTATACATACTTTTCTAACGAGTCGCTACTTACCTTCGAATGCAGAATGCGCATTCACAACATGTTTTTGTTTTTATTATGCCGCCATTCTACGAATCGCTGATGATAACTTTCACGGTTTTTATTTTCTGCCTTGTCTCGCGTACAAGATAGTGAGTGTTACGTTGTGAAGAGGAATATGAGAGAAAAGAATAAGAAGAATATTTTCAAGACATGTGAGTATGTTATGAATTTTCCAATGTGTCTCTGAAAATAGGCTAGCTTTGCGTTTTGGAACCGACAACCGTAGGATTAGATTTAGTAATTCAGACATGATAAATTAGTTCTCATAGTTCTGCATTTTACGAGGTACTTTTTCAGTAGGTACTAATGTCTCTAATTTAAACTAATTTGCAAAAATTTTTGGAAATATTTTTACAGTTGCAACAAATATTTATTTTAAATTATTTGGCGATTATTTACCTTGTTATATTCTACATTATCCGTAAAATACATCATTATATAAATTCATTTTGATATAGTTATAGCAAATAAAAGTAATAACCGCCTATGTTGACATACACATTATTTAAATTTTTTGCATATTCGTTAAACAAGCATTTGGCAATCTTGCGAATTGCTTCAGTGCATATGATGCAATTTAAAAAAATCGGTCAGTCGCTTTTACAAGCGGGTTTTCAAATAATGAATTAATTAATTTAATTAATTGCTAAAATTTAAATTAAAAATAGTTGTGGTTTAGGTAACCTAAATGTTTATGATAATAGAATTAACCAATTCTTTCATAAATAAAGGATAACAATAACAATAGCAATATTTTTCTAAATTTTGTTTAGTGCATTATAAAAAGATTTCAAATAATTTTTTTTAATTTCAAATTTACAACCTGGATTTTTTTTTAATTTTTTAGCCTTAGTTGTAAAATGAAATATACGACGCACGAGCGGGATATAGTTATATATTATTACATATTCGGAAAGCTTATAAAAAGAGCTTTAAGTTAAAAGAAAATCGTCAAGATTCGTTGAAAAACAACGGAGTTACAGACTGTCAAATATATTATTTTCAAGTGAATTTCCCTGTTTTAACGCCAGGACTATGAATATTATCGTCATTTTCTTCGGACTTACTGTCGTTCGTTTCCCCCACCCTTCTGCCGCGCCACGGCTCGCCGAAAATCAAGCAACCCACTGACTTTTGACAATATTTCTTATACACTTAACATACTTCCACACATAAAATATTTTTACCTGAGAAAGTACTCGGGTTGCCGGTTGTGATAGTATTTTTTTTGTCGCTACTAACCTAATTTGTTTAACAATCGGCCGTCAACTTTGACAGTGTGTAACTCCGTTGTTTTTCAACGAATCTTGATGATTTTTTAACTTTGAGCTCTGTTCATAAGCTTTCCGAATATATATACAGGGTGGTCCGAATTTTATGCAGGAAACTTCGAGGGTAGATGGATCTCTTTAAAATAATCTGTGTTTGCCTTATAAACATAGGTCTGGAACGGCCCCGTTTTAGAAACACAGGGTGCTGAGGTTTTAAAAAAATATTAATTTTTGTTTATATCGCACATTACTTCACAGGTGGTGTAAATAATTTTGTTGATGTGCTTCAAATTGCAGAACGGCGAATCTTAGGGAAAAAATTAAAGTCACCTTTTTTACGTATTTTGTGCATTAAAATATAAATCAGTTACAATGACATATAAAAAATGCAGTGGCGTAGGTTTTTTTGTAAAAAAGGGGTGACCCCTGTCCAGTTGTACACCACTGGTCGAACCTTTAAAGCTCATATTTCAGGGAATATAAGGCCTACTATTATACATTATATGTACCAAATTTTATTGAGATCGGTTAATAGATTCCGGAGATATAAACAAAAAATCTATTTACTTTGACAACTTCAACACCCTGTATCTCTAAAACGATGCCGTTCCAGACCTATGTTTATAAGGCAAACACATATTATTTTAAAGACATCTATCTGCCCCCGAAGTTTCCTGCATAAAGTTCGGACCACCCTGTAT